CTAACTTTAGTGTCTTCTCCCAAGGTTTGAGTACGCGATCCAACTTGCCCTAGTAACTTTTTGATTGGCCATACATATTGGGTTCTAATTTCTTCCCTGGCATGCCCCGCCCGTACCCTCTAAGAATATCATGCGTTCGTCAGCCGGCGGGGCGCGCTTCACACTTTCCCCAGACGACCCCGCGACACAATCCTACCCTTTCCTCTTCTTTACCCACACCTGGGATGCGACCACTCGCCTCAGTATAATGTTACTTCGGAAATCTTACACTAGGCCTGATGCTTGTTAAGGCCTGGTCGCTTCGGTTCGTGTTGATCCGTGTGATATTTCGATTAAACAGCCAATAGGTCATGGAACCTTTGCATGTCTAAGTCCTGGTCATACAAAAATTCGTAAAAGCAGACAAAGAGGAAATTAATGTTGATTACCATTAAAGTCAAGTACAATAGTAGTGCCTAATACCTTAACAAATCTGAAGGTTACAACTGACATTTGGCAAGTTAAGTACGTTTGCTAATAAGTGGGTCCACTATCTACTTATTATCGAAGTTTTCGTTTGAATGTAAGTACTTCTTCGAATTTAAAGATGGCCTTGCCTATTTCAAGGTTTTCTTTAAATAGATACTGGATACTATGTTAGGGTTTCTTTTGCTGCCTAAAATTAGCAAAATTTCAAAATAGTGTCGACCCACTTGTTTCATTACTGTTGCCTGTGGATATGTTACTCATCTTGAACCGTCTTGCAAAATATGAATACGAATTATACAGTAAAAAATGGAACCAAAGGATATGAATGCTAATGTACCTAAATACTAGTTTAATATAAGCTTCAATACGGAAACCAAAACCTCAGGATTATGTACTAGGGAAGCGGTGGTGATAGGACTTATGCGGATGGAGCATTACGGGGCGCAAAAGAGAAAATAAGTGAAATACATCAAGCAAAAAGAAAATATCAGACAAAATTCTTACAAAAAGCTAGTATGTGGCAACAAGAAAGTGCGATCGTCGAAAATAAATTGAAATAAATTAAAGATAAAAATAAGTTCCCATTATCGTTGGTCACGTATTGCAGAATCCTGGGGCTTTGGTTTCAGTAGTGATCCCCATACTAGACCGTTACCCGTTCCATCCACATATTGTTTACGTGTAACACGCCCCCGCAGTCACAGAACAGTCTGCACAACTAAACGCCAATAAAAGAAACACACATTACTAATTTCTTCCATTTGTTATTATTGAGTTCTGTTCAGAAGATGCTGTAGATTACACTGCAGTCTAGCAGCCACCCGTTTCAAAATCTCCATTCTATTAAGATCCGCCGTTTCTTCACCGGCAACCTAGACGCTCCTGTGGAGAGTTTTCCCACCTTTCCGGGAACCGAGGCCAACTATCTGCGTGCCCAGATTGCACGCATCACCGCCTGCACTCACATCTCCCCCGAGGGCTACTTCAGCACTGAGTCGGAGGAGAGTGACGAGGAGTATGACGACGAGGAGGATGAAGAAGACAAAGCGCTGCAGGAATGCATTCGAAATCTGGAATACACTCCATTGCCGATCTCACAGCTGGGTCATCCCAGTCTCAAGCATTGGGTGCATCATTCACCCTTTATCCTGCCCCAAGGTCGAGTTCGATGGTATGTCCAACATTTTATTTTGCCTACATCGGTTCTCAGAAGCTGGTGTTGAACTAACTTTTATGACAGTATGCGTTGGCCCAGCCGGCAAGTTTTGGACATAAAGAGGCCCAGGTCGAAATAATCTGTTTTTAGACGGAGGTGGTTTACGTATTAGAGGGAGGGTAGAATTTACATCTCCCTTTTAGTCCACTTCGACAACTTTATAACATCAACCTTTCTCTCAAGCTATATCTTGGCAGCTGATGTTGGATTCTTGCCATGAGTCGAGTGTTTCGGAGTGGAGAGCCACTGAATTCCTTTGTTTGTCATGTCCAACTCTGTCTTAAAGAACAATGCCGCATATTCTTTTTAGCTCATACGAACTGACAGTTTTGTCCACTACTGAATTGCGTCATAAGTGTTGTGCTGTGTTGGGAGAGCGTTCGTGTTGTAGGACTTGCTTGTACGTTTTGATTTGGGGCTCGATCTAGAGCCCCCTGGGCAGTAGCAGAGCGACTAGTAATGTTATATAAGAAAATAGAGACTGAAAT